GTCTGAGCTGAGCCCCCAGGACCACCGGTTCGACGCTGCGCTCTACCGTCTTCATCAACACGACTGGTGCTGATCATCCCATCTATGACTCCAGTCTGGTTGGGTACAGGAGTGCTGTGATCAGCAGCTAAGGGTGCTGGGGCAGATTTCTGGTTGCTCATGAGTTCACCGAGTGGAACCACCGGAACGACTTTTGGATAGACCAAAAATAGGTATATAAAAATAAATAAATAATTCCCATGAACGACTTTTTTTTGCGGTGACCCGGGTCACCGCCAAACGTTTCAAATCATGAAGAAGTGATTGGGTCAGGGGCGTCCGACATCCAGCACAATACACTGGCCAAGGTACATGTCGGCTACGAGGAAGACAACTGACAGAGTCGACTGAGCATGAATACTGGTGGTAATGGTAGCTCAAGACTGTTGTGTGCAGCATGCATTAGTGTGATGCAAGGCTGCAAGACAATCACGCAGAGCGATTTCATCTGCAAGCACTACAAGGAGCCATGATCCACAGCCCGTGTGACCTGGTGGGCGAGGAGATGTCCGGTAAACTACCAGTTCCTGCTCGATCAGCTGGTGTCGCCGTTGAGGCCGAGGCCTAGGCGGCTGCTGCGGCACAAGCCCACGAAGGCCTGGACACCAAGAACTACCACATCTACCCTGCGGTCGTGGCCAACACCAATGCTGACATTGACATCTTCAAGAAGACCTAATACGACGTGCACGCCGAGGTTCTTGTCTCCGTTCTGGACAGTGGCCGACACGGCAACTTCCATACGATGATTCTAGTGTCGCTGTGGGTACCACTGGCGCCGTACGACCCCAGCGTGCCCGGCGATGCGGAGAAGTTCTACAAGACGGTCCACAGCAAGATCGACACGGACGTCTCCTGATGCATTCATGTGGGCGATGACGACACACTCATACCGCACAGACAAGATGCTCGAGACGATTGCTGGCGTGCATCGGGTAAGATGAATTAATAGCCATGCTATTTGCTACGTGTTCATGATCATTCTAAATGTGATTCTGTCTTTGTGGTCTTATGAAATGCTTCTGACAGAGGAAGTTATCATAGGTTCATTACACTTTCAACCTGATGGAGATCAATACATCGACTACTAATGGCAGCACAGTGCAAGAAATATTTGGTAATGCCATGTTTGCATTCTTTTGTATCCAACGTTTCAGAAGTGAAAATCCAATTTCAATTGGATTTAGTTGGGGGTGTGGTGAAGCAGATGCAGAATATTCCGAGACTGGGCGGTATCAGTTCCAATCAATCAAGATCGACCACCACCCATTATGGCGATCTTGGTGTGGTCCACGTCAAACCTGACCAAACCGATGGCGATCTCAAGTGTGGCATACATCACACCTGCCCAAGTCAATTGTACCCACGAT